GGCTTCGGGGACAGTCCCGGAGGGCCTGCTCTCCGCCTGCACACCCCACGTCGTCACAGGCCACAGCGGCATCCCGGAGGTCCCATCCGTCGTCACACACCGTGCCCCAGCGGCCACTGTGCCAGACCTCCAGGCGGCCGGCACAGCCATGGGGGCCGGAGACCAGGCGCAGCCGCTCTGGGGGAAGGAGGGGCAGGAAGATGTGGGAACAGTGGGGGCTCAGGTGGAGAACAGCCTCCCCCTCCATTCTGCAAGACTGTGCTTTTTGCCCCCTCTACATTTGGGGGGCAGAGGTCTGAGGATGCTTACCTTGGCGGGGGCCCCCAGCGGTCAGCAAAGGGGCTCTGGTGGACTTGGCTTGCTTGGGCGGCCGTGGGCTTTTCTTCCGGGGGCCATTCTGGAGGCTTCCAGATGCGCGGGGGCCTGGGGGAGGAGATGGCCACAAGATCAGGAGCTATGTGGTTCATCCTGCCTGTCCACAAGGCCAGGAAGGTGACCAGGGGGCAGATGTGCTACTGGGAGGTGAGCGCCGCATCCCTCCCGTAGCTTTGGTGGGCAGGGTGGGCGGCCCCTCCCAGGGGCTCACCGGAAGTCACTGGGGGCTCCTCAGAGCCAGGGCTTAGCTCTGCAGACAGCCCCGGCCATGGCTCCCCATCCAGCGGGGCGGTCAGGTCATCCCGGGAGTCTGCTGCACGCTGGCCTGCAGAGGGTGGCAGGAGTCGGGTCACCACTTGTCCCTAACAGGCAGAGGGCTGGGCTCAGGGGCAAGTGTGTCACAGGTCCCAAGGGAGGGGGCTGGGGATAGGGTAGCTCCCCTTAGCGCAGACTTATGGGCAGAAGAACTCGGACCCCGGGGTCACTGCCGGTGGACGTGACCTGTGACCTCACCTGCACAGACTACACCCGCGTCCTCCTCATGAGAGCAGATGTGGGCCTTCCAGCCCCGGTGGGGACAGAGGCCCAGCCGCCCCTCGCGGCCCTGGCAGGCCAGCTCGCTGAGCCATACGGGCCCCGTGCCCTCTCCAAAGAAGGCACCCCCAGGGGCGGCCAGCGCCCCCCCGCAGCCCAGCTCCCGGCAGGCCACTGCGGCATCCCGGAGGTCCCATCCGTCGTCACACACGGTGCCCCAGCGTCCACTGTACCAGACCTCCAGACGGCCGGCACAGCCATGGGGGCCATCAGCTAGGCGCAGCCGCTCTGGGGGTGGGAGGGGAGGTGTGGTCCCTGCCAGCACACTGGCCAGGCCAGGGACCAGGGGACAAGAGGGACTGGGCTGCCCAGCATGCTGGACCAGACCTCGGGTGCTCAGAGGGGAGTGAGTGTCCCCCGGATGTGGCCCAGGGGCTGGGAACAGCAGGCAAGGTCCCAGCAGAGCAGGGGCAGCCAGGGGAACAGGGACACTTACCAACGGCCTGGATCCCCACCAGCGCTGCTGCAACGAGGGCGGGCAGACAGCGTGAGGGAGGCCCAGACACCCCACAATATGGAGTGGACCCCGCTGGGAACAGGGTGGGGTGTCGCCATTCCCAGACAGGTGGAACCCCAGGTCAGTCTGCGGCCCGGGTCAGGGCTGGGCAGGTCCCTTGAGTGTTAAGCGGGCTGGGTCCGAGGGACAGGCGGGCAGCCAGATGTCAGGGTGTCCCAAGCACCCGGGACAGGCTCCCAGGAGTCGGACGGAGCCAGGGGTCAGAGAGGGTCACTCACCAAGGAGGCAGGCCAAGGCCCTCATGGGTGCAGAGTCCAGCAGGACTGGGGCGAAGGGGAAGGGGAGGGGCCAGGAGCAGCCGGCAGGACTGAGAGAGGCTGCAGAGGCACAGGGGACAACAGAGAGGGAGGGCGGCCGGCCAGGCCGAGGCGTGGGGAGGGGGGAGGCGTCTGACTGCAAACACCCACTGGGAGGGCGGCGGCCGGTCTCCAGCCAGCATCACAGAGCCCAGATGATGGGAAGACGTCCGGGAAGGGCCAGGCCCCCCTGTCCCTCTCTTGTCTGGCCAGGAAAGCACAGCTAGGAGCTGAGCAAAAAGGACTGGATCAGGAAAGACACCCGCCAGACCGCAGGTCGTGAAGCTGGCTCCCAGGGAGGGGTGGCAGAACTGGGTCCCCAGAGGACCGTGGGACCACCAAGGGTCAGGCTGGGGGAGGGGCCGTGCGCGCACGTGTGCACACACACACACACACACACACACACACACACACTCACAGGGGTGCCCCCTCCACACCAGCCAGCTGTGAGGGAAAACATTCGGTAATGGGGAGTGTGACTCAGAAGGCCTGGCAGGGACCACTGCCATGAGCTCAGAGCTCCCCGCACTCCACTGCTCCAGCAATTAGCATCCACTTGGGAGAGGAGGAGCCAGACAGAAGGGGCGGAGGGGCCGAGACCACTGGAAAAGGCATCAGACAGGAGATGGCGCACGGCAGTTCCAGGTTTTATTAACAAACGGTGTAAAAATCCAGATGGGGCTGGGGCCAGGCTCCCCTGCTCACTCGGCCGCCCCACTCCACCCCAAACGTCTCCCATGGAACACACGGACAGGGGACTTCTCCGTGCAGAGACTCCAAGGCTGGCCATGGATGGGCTGAGCTGGGGGCCCCACTGCACTGAGTTCAAAGCCACACACAGCACACCGGAAGGGCAGCCGGCGGCCAGCAGCAGGATGGCAGGCGTGTGGGTCCCTCATGTCCCAGGCCTCAGCGTCTGCACACTGGGCTCCGCACACTGGGCGGGCTGCAGCAGTGTCAGGCACATGGCGGGCGCTGCCTCCCCTCCCAGCCCCCCAGCTGTGTTGGAGTCACAGGTCTTTGCTGAACTCCCTCACCAGTGTGTAGCCCATGCAGCCCCAGCCGCCCTTGGCCTGGTAGCCACAGCCCTCCAGCAGCCCTACCGCCCCCCACGCAGCCACAGCCACTGG